AAGGGGTCCCTGCAGGAACCCTTCTTCACTTACTACAGGTTTCTGTTTCTTCCCTGGTGTCACTCCAATGAGCTTAAATATCAAGCAGCTTAAAACACACAGGGGTTGTTGTTCACTAAAGGGATGAATAGTCAGTGTTTTGAATTCACTGGAGCATTTCAGCCAGTTTCAATCACAACAGAATATGTTTGCATCTGGTCCCAGCCTTGTGAGTCCTCCCTCCGTACTGTGGAGTAATTGAAGAATGTGATTAAATATAATTATTTTAATTGCCCTTTGACTCAGAAAGATTCCTGATAGTGCTGAGTAGAATCTGGTTGTAAAGGAAAGAAAGGCCTTGTGGATTGTCTGCATCAGGACAGACTGCCATTAAGAGTGGTGTGAGGGATCCAAATGAAACATTGCTAACCTACTACAAGCACTGCTTGGATTGCAGCAACGGGGAACACATTTTATAACTGAATTCAGGAAACAGAATGTGTGCAGTGTGCTAGTTTGCCTGTGACTCATTTGGGGTTGTTATTAATCCACACAGTGTTCAAGTCCAGTGTAATATCACTGACTTTGTTGAGGCTCCTGTTTGATGCAGTTGTGAATAAAAGCACAGGGTTCTTCTAGGGCTTAAAGCCTGAAATATGAGAATCGAGACCATATATATTCAATAAGGTGAAATACTTAACACCTAACCATTCCAGAAACAGCGTTTTTGTTGAAGGCTGCAGTAAAGATGATGGTCTAATAATTAGGTCACCCATGCTGAACTTGGAAAGCATTGTCTGTATTCTCTGCTCTGCTGATCCTGGATTGGCCTTTGGTGCAGCACTTGTGCTGCTCCATGTCTCATTTCCCCCCTTTGTAAAGAAATGAGAGAGATGTGCCTTCTTAGGAGTATGTGAGTTCCTTTCTTTCTGTGTTAGTAATGACCATGAAAATTCACTGATGTAGTGACAGGAAGGGCAAAGGCTTTTGTGATTTATTCTTTTTTTAATGTATAAATATATAGTATCTGTGGAATAAAACACTTCTGACTGTGGAAGGAAAGTACATTAGAATATAAATAAATCTAACAGGAACACTTTTGGCTTAATGACACTATGCAGAAGCTTCCTGTAGGATAGTGGGGTCTTCTAGGAGAGCACTGACTTATGCTAGCAATGCTTTTAGACTTCATCTAGATATTTGCTATTAGCCCCTGTGTCAAAGAGGCTATTGGAGAGGATGGACTTCAGTCAGACCTAGGCTGGCTATCCTAATATTCCCTGTGTGTAATGAGTGTGATTTTCAGAAATGTGAAGCCTCTATAGATCCTATTTGTATGGTATAAAATCCCTTCTTTAGCAGGTTAGCTAGCTAGGTACTTTGTTTTGCTTTTGTTTTTCCATATTTGGTTGGTGAGTCAAATAATTTTTAATAGTCTTAGTCTTTTGTATTTGATTAAGTGCAGGTATAAGAAACAAGAAAAAAAACCAAAACACAAAAAAGACATCCCAAAAAAACAAACCTCTTGATAAAATGACCTGATCTTTCATTTACAGGCACTAGAGAGGCCAAGGTTGCAACTGTTTTGACTATTACATTTTCCATTCATTCTGTTTGGAAGGAGCTGAATCAGACTCTTCCTCACACTGCTCAGAGCTGATTAATATTAGTGAGGTCTGATTTACAGAACTTCTCCCGCAGGCACTTCTTTTCTACCCATGCAGTTGTACTGAGTCCAGTGGATTTTTGTCTGATTTATTACCATGTGAGTGAGTGCTGTGCCAAGTTGTGTGACTCCTGCAGTTAGTCTCGATTTGCACTGATGTAGCTGACAGCAGGGTTTGAACTCAATGATCCCACTGTTACTGTGGCACATGCATTGTAATCAAAGCCAATGCTGCATCGTTATCTCTTTAGAAATGAATGCTGTGTATGCACCTCTTAGCTCACTTCTTGTGTCTGCAACTGTCTTCTCTTCTGAATAACTCTATTCACAAGCATCATTATGTTGCTGTGCATCTGCCATGAGGAGACGGTAGGTCCAGCATGACATAACTGGGGCATGTGTCCAAATGCCGACTCCAAAGGCCTTCCCTCTGTTATCCATTCAAGCGAATGCCAGCAAGCTGGGAGTGTTCAGCATGGGCCAGCATAACCTGTGCTGGATAGTAAAATAGGCAAGTGCAGATGTCTATTGTGCTGGTTGTGGAATGCCAGGGCTGCATCCTTGATCAAGAATTAGTGAAGCTAACACTTTTGTCTTTTGACTGAATGCCTCCAAAATGCTCCCTTTTCATCTGGTTTTCCGTTACTGACTATTTCCAAGCAGTGCTGTGCTACTTGGACCAAATTCGGGAGCTACTGATGCTACAAGCAGTGTTGGTAAAATTGGTTGTAGGAATGGGCAAAATAAGCACCTCTTTGGGGTGGCAAAAAGTTGCCACAGCAGCCCTGTGCAGCAGTGGCAGTTACTAAGTGTGCCCAAACCTCTCAGTGGCAGCAGAAGCAGCAGCTCTGGGGGTCTCTTGTCCTCAGCTGTCTTTCTCAGCACTGTCCATCCTTTTCTCATACCCAGTGAGCCAATGAACACACCAACGTTTTGGGAATTCATAATCTGTTCACCACCCCAGTACATTTGCCTGATGAATATTACTAACATTAATTCTCCAGGCTTTTCTACTGCTTGTAGCTTACCATTTTTGGTTTATTTTCATCTTTATTTCCCGTAGTGTACTGAAATGATGTGAAAGAAACATTTGTTCACACAAATAAGGGAAGGTAATAGCTTCCCTCCCTGACCACATGATCTCTTCTGTTCCAAGTCTTAATTAAAATGGTACTAAAGGAAGCAAATCAATTAGCAGATACCTTACAAAATGGTTTATTCACTTACACATGTACACATACACAATTACTTACAAGTATCACATTACTGCTTTAGTTTATCTGTTAGCAAACGCTGCTTATGAACTGCAGTGTTACTGACCTGGGTAACAGACACCAAGGAATCCAGGGAAATATATTATTTTTCTCTGAAAATAAACCTTACATTTTGTTGTTCAAAATGTACAAAAAAAAAAATCCAGTTTTCTTTGCATATTTGGAAAATTACCTGCTTTGCTAAGGTCGGAACAAAACCATATTCAAATCCTTTCAGTTACAGTTACAAGCAATACACTACCTTATTCTTCAGAGAAACAAAATTCTGACATATCTGCTTTTGTGATCTGACAGTGTGTTCACTCTAAGTCCCTGACTCAGCACATCAGCACTGGCTTTAATGTGCAGGGTTAATTGCAGCTCTTCATTGTCTGAAAGTTGATTATTGGAAGGGTGGCCCTGGTTTCCATGAGTTTTTGAAGTTATATTTCTTAATAATACACAGAATTTCTAGGTTGGATTACTTTTTTTATAAGTTGGATAACTTCTGTTACATTACAGTAATGAAAAACTGGAAAGAACTTTATTATGATCTGCCATGTGGCGTAACTGAGAGCAAACACTGGTTTAAAAGTTAACTTTAGGAATGTATGTTAGATAAGAGATTAAAACAAATCCATATGTCTGCAGACATTGGCCTGAGTGTAAAGTTTAGGAAGATCCAATCTATTTAAGTTTGCTGTCTTTGGATCTGGATAGTGGAGTTTGTAAGTTGCAATAAAATAATGTAACATCCTGCTTTGAGTCATCCTGTAATGTTATGACATAACAGCTATGCCTGTGAAATATTGTGACGTTACTTGATGCTGTGTGTGACATCTACCTGAGGCTCTCAAGCCTTTGGATCCTGCTGGGTTTCCTGAGAGGAGCTGCAGGAATAGCAGGGGATGCCCAGTGTGGCATTGCTCCTAGCCAAATAGCAGTCGTTGCCCTGTCTTCACAAACTGAAAGGAAAAACTGGCCTGAAATATAAAAATCTTCCTGCTTTTCTCACACCTTGTGATGAAAATATCTGCTGTAATACAGCATTCTTGAAAGAAGTGGGTTAAACAGAACTATAGCATTATTTTCTGAGCTACAGGCTCACAGCTTTGATAAAGGTTGGAATGTGCTTACAAAGCAACTTGGGTTTAAACCATTTTAAATGATTTAAACTATTACAAATATTCTGAGACAAAGCTCTATTTTTTCTTCTTGTCACTCTCACTATAATTGGAATCAGGTAAAGCAATTATGATGAAATCAAATTCAAGAGAATATATATTGCTAGAACAAGAATGAAGGGGCTGGGAGACTGATTGAATTCTGACTGAAATGACATTTCAAATTCTGATTGAATTTAGTGCATTGTTTTATACTAAAAAAATAGGGTGGGTGAATTTTGGAAGTGTCAGATTAGCTTGTTTTAGAATGATGGCATTAAATGTTTTGCTTCGGGTGCCCAGAAACTTTTTTTTTTTTTTTTGAGAGTACAAAACTGGTTTTATCTCAATGTTCTAAAAACAAAACATAAAAACCATTATTTCAAAAAGGAATTTTTAATTTTAAATTATGATTCATTTAAAAGGCTGAGATTAGAACTACCACTTACAGTTATACATTAGCCCTAGAGCTAAAGAAGATACAACTTTAGTGTGAATGAAATGTTATCCTATTAACACAGATCATGTATTTCCTGAAAAAACTGAGAAGCCTTGTTCTGCTTCAATGTCAAATGAATGACTTTTTTTTTTCAAGTTACTTCAGTCATTATTTACCTATCTTGAAATACAGGTGTGACCATGAATCCTGCTGCTGAAATGTATTTCTACAATTTAACTGATTTTAGAAATCAATCATATACTTAGCACAGATTAAACAGGATCTATTAATGAGCAGAGCTCATCTATTTGATTTTTCTTATACATTTCCTTCATATACATGCTGTTGGGAATTACAGGCTTCTTGTGCAGGTGATTGAAGTTAGCATGCACTTCCTGTAATCAATCGATCAGTCTTTCAATTAAAGAACAAAGAAAGGAATTGGTATTGGTGACATTCTTGCCTGTGTACAAGAGATTTTTATTGATCCTCAGACCAGGTAACTGTTGATTGCGAAAGGTTTATTGATCATTTGTACTTTATTTTCCTGGTACGTTGATGTCATCTCTGAAAAGAAAGAAAAATCATAGGTTAACAATAATTTGCTGGCTTTGGTTTTACCTGGGATGATTCATAGCATCGCTGTAAAAGCTGAGCTGAGACACCCACATAAAAATTAGAAGAATTCTAGAAAATTATTAATAGAGCTGCTGAAAGTACATTAATGAAGTTCCTTCCACTTAACTTTTCCTAGATGTATCTGCATTTCTTTGGAGGTATCTGTTTTTCCTAAGTGAATTAACAGAACAAATGTATGATTCTTGCTGCTGTGATGACTTCCTGATGCCTTCTTTGCTGCCAGGTAGGAATCCACTAGCAGCAAGCAATGCATTTTAGGGCAGCATCCTACTGTAAGAACTGAAGACTCTGGATTATTATTATTTGGGCCACTTCCCAGCATTGCCTTGCCACATGAGTAGAGACCAGCTGAGCAGCTCCTAGATCCACATTATGGCTGCATCTTTCCAAGAGTTTACCAGTTGGAATACCTGCTAATGTTGGGGGAGTTGCATTGCAGCTGCATAGGGCAGACAGTCTTGCAGTATGCCAGGGCCTTATGTTAGGGTATTCCAGGTACACAGCTGGGAAGGATGAGGCTTTTAAATTACGTGCCTTAGGCCATGCAGTGTCTGGCAGATCTGGGTTGTTACTAGGAAGATAGGGTAGCCCCACAGCCTTTATTGCTGTGCAACATCTCCTTTACCTACATGAATGTGTAACCTTTCCCTATGTTGATGTGTTTTTACAGCGCCTACATGTCTGCCTAGTACTGTCACTCCATCTCTGCTCCTTCAGGCTCCCCCTTGTTCCCGCACATACCTGTTTTGGCTTGATCCCATGTTTGACCTGTAAAGTACAGAGAGTGAGATATTGTGCCTTTCAGAGCAATAATCAAAGATCAGCATTCAAAGAAGCAACACATTAGGAGCTGGGAAAATTCAGGAACTTCTTATTTTTTTTTCTTCGCTGCTCTTAATCTTTAATTCAGTTTTACTCCATCTAGCGTCAGTGTTTGGAAATAAGATCTTGCCTTTCAGCCTTCAGCTTACTTATATTAGATCTCATGACTTTACTGGGAAATAGTATTCATCATAGTCCCTTTCCTTCAATACTACTTAAGCAGTTTTCTGGTGACTCCTAAAGACAGAACTCACAGGAGATTTGGCAGGCAGGGAGGGATATCCTTCTTATCTTTTCCCTCAGTCTTTTTTCCTTCTCTTGAGAGGAACTTCATCATGTGTCTTCTAGAAAGCTGTGTTGAAATTTTCTGTCCATGTGAAATTTACTGCACTAACCATTAGTGCCTGTAAGAAAGTTAAGACCTGATTCTCATTTTTCTAGTTTGAACTGGTCATACAACCCATGGGAGACTATATGGTGAGGCTGGAATTGGAGAGATATTTTTCTGCTCTGCTCCCCTTCCTCCATTATTTCTTTCTCTAGGTTGGGGCTGGGGTGAGTCAGATCATATACATCTATAAGGTGGCAGTGCCTGCACTGTCCTGCAGTGCTTTCACAGCTGAATTTCCACACTGCCTGCTTTGCTGAGTCCTCAGGAGCTTCCAGGGCATCCAGAGGTGTCTGCTGAAATGCAAGGAGGGAAGCTCGTCAGCACCTAGCCAGTATCTGCCTACCAGTCTGCTTTGCCTGCAACCTGGTGACCACACTGGAGGTACCTGAGGGTTGTCTCAGCCCTCTTTTGCCTGCACTGGTGTCTGGCACTTCACAGACACAGGGATTTCTTTTGGGTGTCGCAGTTATACAGCAATATTTTTCAGCTTGTTCCAAACAGTTTGTGGCAGCTCTTTCCCAGAAAGAGATGACATTTCAAAACACAATCAGGGGACCTGACATCGGGTGAGCTTATGAACTTGTCAAAATTTCTTCAAACAACACAGATTTGAGCATGTGAAACAAGTTATGCAAATTCCTGCCCGGCTGGAACTGCAGCCATTAAAAACAACAATTCTATCTTCTTCTTCTGACTGTGATAACTGATGCAAAACACAGCCAGTGCAAAGTGATTTGAGCTAACTGGGGTGAATCAGCAATGGATTAGGTTCAGGGGTGTTCACTTTATCCCTTCCCTAGCCTGTGTCTGAGAAGGTGGCAGGGAAATACTGGGAAGGGCATTGTCTCTCGGTATCGTTTCTAAGTGATGTCCTGCCTGTGCCATAATCCTAAGTAACTCAGTCCTCTGCATACAGAAAGAACAAACAAGGGATTAGATGGGAAGCCAATGCTCTTCTTTGTTTAGACCAACGTAATTTGTAAGTCAACTAAAGAGACTGGCTTTCTTGCTGATGCTCTCAGGCAGCCTTCTCACTGTTAACAATGCCAATGCCAGGAAAGGATGGTCCAGGCTACCTCAGCTGTAACACTTTACTACTTCCCTTATGACAGATGCCCTTGAACAGCCTGATCTCTCTGAAAATGATTTTTATGTCATACCATACAGATTTTTGGCAGGGCCAGTTCCACGAGGCCATGGAGATGTGCGACTGCCTGATCAGAATATGCTGCTGCACAGGGAGGCAGGGGGAAGCAGAGCAGAACTGTCTCTGAAGATGGGACACTCTGCTGAGCCCATGCTTTGATACTGTCCAGGGAGACACTGAAGCTCACTCAAAAGAACCAGTTCACAAACACTTTAAAAACAGTATTTCCACTTAAAGGGGTAGTTATTTTTCAGCACTTGTCTCCACTTCCTGGCCCTCTCTCCCACACCTCTTGTGCCTGCACAAGCATTTTAATGTCTATGTAGTAAATCACATTTGAGAGTGGGCCAGGTGTTGTTTTTACTGAATAAAAATAAACAAACAAATACGACCCCATACCTAGTTACTTTTCAACCAGTGCTGTCTTTTTTTTGTCTTCGTTCATTTACAAGTGCATAGAAATTTTCCATTGAAGCTGTGGGCCTCTTTGATGTATCTTTTAGGCCAATTTAAACCCATAAGAAAAACCTTTAAGCCCATGAACTTCTGTGAACCTATGAAAAATTCTCCATGAGTCCCCAAGCATTTGCAGCCTGTAAGGCAGAAGTCATCATCACTGATCATTTCTTTCAGCTTGCTATTTGCTCTCTGACACCAGGCTGTAAAGTGCCCAGGGAATATGGAGATGGATGGTTATAAGCAACGACCACAAAAAAAAAACAGCTTTGGATTTGTTGATATCTAGTACAGGTCATTTAAGGAAGAACTCTTGGAGAGTAAAATTAGATCAGGGAATTGAAATTAATTACCTGTCAGACTACATATATGTACTTAAAAAGGGATCTATAAACAATCTTAGTTTCTGAGAAATTACTGAAAGAAGTTCCATCTGAAATTAGTGATTTCTTTTTCATATGTTTAGTGTGAACTTGCTTAGAAATTAAATGCAGTACAGCAAACTCTGTGAGTTGGAATATGCATGAGTTCTGTTTTGATGCTGTTCTCTCTGGCTAAAAGCTGTAGAACTCTCAGTCCCTTGCATCAGGAGGCCTTGTTTTGTTTTGTTTTGTTTTGTTTTGTTTTGTTTTGTTTTGTTTTGTTTTGTTTTGAAGCTGTCCTTTAGCTATGGCAGCAGCTTCCATTCCTAACTAATCCCATGTTGTCAGCTCCCTGACAAGCCCTAGTCAACATAAAGCTGCTCAGTCTGGATGGCAGACAGGTTCTTCCTGGGAGCAGGAGATTCTCTGCTCAGTGACATCTAATATTTGAGTTACCCTGGATGTCTGTTGACAGGAGTGAAGAGGGTGCTCTTCCAGAAACATTTATCTTTTTTCATCCAGACTCACAGCAGCTCCAGGGAAAAGTAGAGTCACTTGTTTATTGCAGGAATCAGTGGCACCTGCAAGTTTGCCAGCAGAGACCACCATGGCTGTGGAAGGAATTCCCTCTAACAGGTGCCTGAATATTACTAGGAAAGTATTCTCCTGAATCAGCAGGTTTGGCACCAACTCTTACAATCAAATGATTCAGAGACTAGCCCCGAACAGTTGTGCAGAGGGGTAGGAAGGAGTAAGGATTCCTCCCTGTTTGGGAGCTGTGAAAAGGTCAACCTCAAATGCAGCCCCCAGATCTGAGGGGAGAACAGGCATCCCGGGCCAGATGCTCTCCTAGGGAATGTGGAGAGTGGCCAGAGAGGAGCAAAAAATAGCCAGAAGTGTGGCTCTGCCCATCAGGCTGGTAGCTGGCATCAGTGAAGTATGCTGTATCCTGGAAATGGGTTTAATGAATTAATCTTACCCTAACAGTCTGGGCTATATGTGTGTGGAGATATATGTATATATACATATATATATATATATATATATATAAAAACCATCTCTGTGTCCATATGTGTCTGCATATGAAGTATTCCACCCATTCAGGAATGGTGCTAAGAGGAACTGAGAGCCTGAAAGTGCCTACAGAGTGTCTTTTTAAACCCTGGTGTCCCCAGCACAGTGAAAAGTTTAATCTCCATGGCTTTGAAGTGTGTGATATAAGGATCAATTTCATTTTATGGAAAGGGTAACCTAAGCCAAAATAACTTGTCCAAGGCTGTTCAGAAGAACAAGTTTGGCTAAACAGGACAGTGACAAAACCAGGCAGAAAACCTCTAGTCACTGGTGGCCCCTCCTCAACCCTGAATGGGTATTTAATTTTTTTTCTGCAAATGTATGTGTGCAAGGAATTGAGACAGCCACTTCTGCTGGCATCACGTGCTCATTTTTTAACACTTAACACAAATGTGCTTGGAGTTGTTTAGGCCATCTTTCTTTGTAGTTACATTTGCAGTAGCATGCATTATTACGGCATTTGTGCATCTTTAAACTCATTAAACTCAGTTCCCAAGATGTGTACTGAGAAAACCTAAGGCACTGAATGCAGCCTTCATTCTATCAGCCGTCCATTAATCCCTACAGTGCTGAGCGAACTGAGCCTGCTCTGGTGTATCAGGAGGGGCAGGCTCATCTTGCGCATGTGGTATCTGCTTCTTCAGCAGAAATGCAAAAGCATTTCACTAAGAGGGCTGTAGCCCTCCAAGTTGTCTTTCACTCTCATTCCCCCAATAGTGGATATTTGGCCATGGTGGTGGTCAATAGTGGATATTTGGATTAGAGGATATATTCCCCCAGTAGTGGATATTTGGCCAATGTGAAGGGAAACCCTGCAGTCAAAGCAGACTAGAAAGGAATCTTTTTGACTGATTTTGCAAGGCTTATCATGGAGGAGGACAAGTGTCTTTGCTGGGTCTATTTATCCTTCTTTGTAAACCTCCAACAACTTATGAAACCTTTATGTTGACCTGATGATTGGGTTGTCTGTAGAAAATATTAGTTGGCAGAATGAAAGACCCTGCAAAGGGCTGCTTGGAGTAAAAAAAAAGTGGCAATTGAAAAAACAACTTAAGGTTTAGCTGAGGGGTGTTAAGAAAAAGCGCTCAAGTCTTTGACCCCAGAGGTGTCAAAGATTCTGCTGAATCTACATGACCACTTTCTCCAGATCCAAGAAGATGACACTGGTTGTCATAGATTAAAAGGAATATTCCTGGGAGAGGAAAAGAAAAAGGAAGCTTGTTTTAGGAGAACAAAGATGTGGGAAACTCAGTGGCTCTAAGAAAGTTGAGGATTACTGAAGAAATCCAGGAAGACCAAACTGAGTGGGGAAAGGGAGGTAACCAGTGGGCTGGGGCAGATCCACTGGGGTGTGTTTTTGTGGGACTATATGAAGAGATTGTTGTTCCAGGGGGGCCCATCCATGCTGCAGTGTGAGCTGGCTTCTGCTGGGTGTCTTCCTGGCAGGTCTAGTTTCTGACAGCTGAAGCTCTGGGTTTTGTTTGTTGCTATAAAGCAACTTGGAGGATTCTGTCTA